CCCCCCCCCCCCCCCCCCCCCCCCCCCCCCCCCCCCCCCCCCCCCCCCCCCCCCCCCCCCCCGCTGTCGCGAAATCCATGACGAGTTTCAGTTTCTGCAGAGCCGCTGCCGAGGGGTTTGACAGACTCGGGGCGGCTTTTCAATGTGTGGACGTGCATGCATTGTCAAGTAGATTTTTCTTCATTTTTTTTTTTAGCGCCAGAGGGAGCTTACTGGCGGTACCAGCCGCAGTTGTACCAGGCATGCATCGTCCGCTACTAACAGGTAATGACTCGATGCTAAGCGGCAAAGCAAGGGAACCTGAAGAAAAGGGACTGCAGACAAGGAAGGGGAAGAAGAAAACACAGGTGGACGAATTCAATTCGATTTATTGGCCCAGCGTCTCCATTCCAGCGGCAAACCAGGCGTTACGCCACGTCAGGCCTCTGTTCCTGTTTTGAGCTTGAAGCATTTAGACTTTGGGTATCGTTTTCGCCTCCATGAGCCCGCGACTTCAGCAACAGGTACATGTATGTACTCAGGATGACAGGGCGAAGCTCGGCGATAGAAGGGGAGCAGCAAGTGAGCAACAGGATCAGGTCTAAATGATTACGTGTACGTGTGTACAGGTAGGTACTATAGGCATCAACTGCTGGCTCACTCACTAATGTACTCACCATCCGACTCACACACAGCAATCGAACTGGTGGCTCTGGATTTGGCGCCTTATCCCGGAGCGGCTTCATGAAACTCGTCTCTCTTTGCTCGGTTCTTTGCTCGGGCAAGCTCCTCCGTACTCCGTATCTCGTTCTACTGTACGTACGAGTACTCCGTACAATAGCTATTAATCCACTTGCCGGCATGAATATCGCCACCCACCCACCAGCATTCATCAACACGCCAGTGAGGACTCCCGCAATACGCAGTAGTTCGTGGCAGGACTAAGACGAGCAGCAGCGCCTTCAAGGGCCTTGACAATGCCGACTGATTAATCAACTCTGGAGAAAACATGGAGCCCTTCTTGGTCTCTTGTCTTTCTTGTTTCAATGCCATGGCATTCCCGTGCCCTCTCCTCGGATCTTGGTTGTCGTATCCCCATTTAGCACTGGGAGGCGGAGTCCCCAACTCCCCGGTTGTACGAGAGCCTGCATTTACGAAGTGGCATCGCCCATCTCCTTATGATCATCGATGGTCATATATCACCCGCCTTGGCCCATGTCCCGACGACAAAAGGGTTGCGTAAACCATGATGGTCTGGCGATGCGATGACCTCTGTACTTTTTCCACAGTCTCCTCGCTCATCACCAACACACATCCAGTCCCAGTAGCGTGCTCCTCCTCACCCGTACAAGTGTGCAAGTTCTTCATTTGTCCATCAAACAGAGGCGTGGCGTGATCTCCCATCTCCACAGCCCGTTTCCTAGTTTTCCTAGCTCTCGCTGCCGGCATTCCCGCTGCTGACGTTCTTCCACATCACGGACAGGGCCCGTCGTGATCGTGAATAATCGGGGCGGTGTAACCCCTTTCGTGGGCGCCTTGAAGACGCCGGAACGCCGCCCGCAGCATCCCGTAACCATGACGGCGACGAGATGCGTCCAGGTTCGAATGTGAGCATGTCTTGCGAAATGCCCCCCAGGATACGCTCTTTCTGCCCTCGTTATTCTCCGCGGGATCGCCCCGAAGCGGTATCATGAGCAAACGAGACTAGCCGTGCGGCTAAC